AAAAAAAAAAAAAAAACAAACTTTTGCTCTAATAGAATTGTTATGCACTGATCAATCAGAAGCCACTAGACAAAATAGCATGTATGGAAATGACACATGGAAAAAAAATGAAATCCAGAGACTAAACATTGCTTTAAAACTCAGGTAAGAAGAAGAAAGAGAAGATTTTCACTCCCAATTTAAGTTGTAAACTATGAAAATATTAAATATGCAGGAGACAAGCTGTTGGAAGCCCATCTACATTCAGCAGCATAATCAGCCTGCTGGGTGTATTCCCATTCTCTAGTCAAAACAAGAAAAACGTTCGATAACACCGAGTCTCCATCTCAGTTTTGCAGATGAGTAGCTCTGGTATCCTAGACCTCGGTTTCATCTGTAAAATGGGGCCAATACTGTATCACACTTATCTAACGCCACATACAAAAAGGAACATTAAAACACTTAATGACTTCAGTATGCGTTAAGAACAGCTCTTTATATCTGTTGAATATTTTATAGTTTATAAAGTGCTTCCCCTGAATTGTATCATTTAAAACAACACTGTGGACATATCATTTTATATTGGAGAAAACAAGTTTGGAGAGGTTAAGGTCACAGACCTATTAAATGGCAGAAACAGAACCTGAATTCAGATCTTCCGTTTCCAAGCTCATGGCTCTTTCCACCGTACGACAACTGCCTCATCTTAGGATGCTTATTACAATCACAGTAGTATCTGTGATCCTAAGTTATGGAAAACAACTTGTATGTTTTACTTTTGTTGCTTCTTTTAATATGTACAATATTTTAAAGGTACATATTTAAAAATATATATACACAATGTATACACACAGACAAGAAACATGAAAGTACATGTTAAAAAACCTACCAAACTTGGGCCAAGAGCAGTGGCTCATGCGTGTAATCCCACAACTTTGGGAGGCCAAGGTGGGAGGATCACTTGAAGCCAGGAGTTCGAGACCAGCCTGGCCAACATATTAAAACCCTGTCTTTACTAAAAATACAAAAAAATTAGCCGGGCATGGTGGTGCACACCTGTAATCCCAGCTACTCGGGAGGCTGAGGCACAAGAATCCCTTGAACCCGGAAGGCGGAGGCTGCATTAAGTGGAGATCACACCATTGCACTCCAGCCTGAGCGATAAACAGAGACTCTGTCTCTAAAACAAACAAACAAACAAACAAAAAACCCTACCAAACCTATCTCAACTCCTAGAAAATATTTCAGATAAAGAATAAGGCCAGGCTCAGTGGCTCATGCCTGTAATCCCAGCACTTTGGGAGGCCAAGGTAGGCAGATCATCTGAGGTCAGGAGTTCAAGTCCAACCTGGCCAACATGGTGAAACCCTGCCACTACTAAAAATACAAAAATTAGCTGAGCGTGGTGGCGAGCGCCTGTAATCCCAGCTACTTGGGAGGCTGAGGCAGGAGAGTTGCTTAATGGGAAGGCAGAGGTTGCAGTGAGCCGAGATGGCACTACTGCACTCCAGCCTGGGCAGAGCAAAACTCCGTCTCAAAAAACAAATATTAGCCGGGCATGGTAGCACATGCCTGGTAGCACAGCTACTTGGGAGGCTGAGGCACAAGAATTGCTTACCAGGAGGCAGAAGTTGCAATGAGCTGAGATTGCGCCATTGCACTCCAGCCTGGGAAACAGAGTGAGACTCTGTCTCAAAAAAAAACAAAAGAATAAATAACAAGCCTGGTGTGGTGGCTTACACCTGTAATCCCAGCACTTTGGGAGGTGGAAGCAGGTAGATCACCAAGTCAGGAGTTCGAGACCAGCCTGGCCAACATGGTGAAACCTCGTCTCTACTAAAAATACAAAAAATTAGCCAGGCATGGTGGCAGACACCTATAATCCCAGCTATTCGAGAGGTTCTGGCAGGAAAATCGCTTGAACCCGGGAGGCAGAGGTTGCAATGAGCTGAGATTGCGCCATTGCACTCCAGCCTGGGCAACAGAGTAAGACTCTGTCTCAA